TGTATCTTGAGGAATTGAAGCAAGATTTTTGTATGGAATTAGGCCTATCACTAGACGTGAGGTGGGGCGTCAACAATATCATTCCTTTGGCGACATGGTAAATGCGGCGGTAAAAGTAGAAAGGCATTTGTTTCAAAACATCCATATTTCTTATTCTTTTAAAGTTTCCATGTCTTGACATTTTCAACCGTGCGAGTACAACATCTCGACTACTTCCAAGTTCCAATGTAGTTGGTCTAGAGACCTTTGAACCCAAAGATGCAAAGTCAAATCTTCTTGAAGAAGGGGGGAATAATATGAATTAAGAAGGTGCACCCATGGAGAAGCACATCATTTTGGCTACCGGTGATCTAGCTCACTTGAATCAAAGAGGACCAAAGCATTGCGGCTACCAAAGACGTATCCGACAACCCATATGTTGAACTTGCAGATTCAAGGATGAATCTTCGGGAAGAAAGAGGGTATGATGTGATTCGAGATGGTGAACCTTTGGGCTTGGGCGTACACATAGACCCCACTACAGAGACCCGACAAAACAAACTCAGGATAATCTTAATTTGTTTTTAAATGATAATATATAGGTATCCCGAGGTGAACATAGCAAAAAGGCAAAACAAGTCACCAAAACTAGAGCACTTGACCCAAAGGAATGTCGGGAAATAGTGAACAAATTGACCGAATCACAGTCAAGTCGTGTGACTGTTTAGGTCACACGGTCGACTGCAACAAGTTTTTCGGGAGGCAAATCATAATGGGCCATAGACTGTCAAATACATTAAACGGTGAAACGATGAACCATCCTGAGGTGACTGAGCATGTGGAGCTACTCGACCAATTCACCATCCACTTTGGATCGTTTATGGGCAACATTCAACCATCAGTGTGACCTGGGAAGGGTTACATCGTTGCATGGACTAAAACGGTCCAACACTTGACCGTTGTGAGACACGGTCGACTGTGGCGCGGTTGTGTGGTTATGGGAAATTTCTTCCTAATTAGCTAAATTTTAATTAATACCACCAGATCACAAAATTATGTGGAAGAAGCCAAAGAAGATTATATTGATTGATTTAGAGAGATTTTAGCAAGATAATTACTATTGTCATTACAAGGTAATTAAGAGGACAAAAGTTTATAAAATTGGCGAATCTCATTATGCTTGGCATGGAAGATGAGAGACAATATCTTGGAAGAATCAATCACTAATAGTTTATTAGGATTTAATTCCATGTTTGTAGTTTTTATTTAATTAATTTGTAGGTTTAGTGTTAATTATTTCCTACAAATAAGATGCATTTCCTACATTGTAAAGGGAGATTGTTTTGGAATGAAAACGGAGTGTTTTTCTTAACCCTTTGGGTTGTGAGACTTGTAAGAATTTCAACAACTTGTGAGTTGTAAAATCACATCTTTCGTGTTGATACGGCAGGTCTCATTGAGGCATGAGAGTTATAGACTTATGACTCTCAAAAGCACACTTTTTGATAGAATTAGAGAGGGCAGAGAAAAGAATTGAAGGATAATCTTTATCAAATTATGAAATCAGGATCTAACTTCATAAATAATAAAGATGAAGGAAAATCTTTATCAAAATATGAGCAAGAATCTTAAACTCATATAAGTAGGAGAATCTCCAATGTTAAAACACTTTGTAATCTTTCATAATCAATGCACATGACTAGATGTCTATTTGTACAAAGAGACTCTAACTTCTACTAGTAATAACTTACTAATAACCACCCATTAACAAAGTGGGAATAACTTGCCCTAAACCTCCCACTAACTAAGTGGGAATGATTGACCCCTAACTTCCCACTAAATGGAATTAAATAGTTATTAAATAAACTAGGTTTTAGGGTTTAGGGTTTTAGGGTTTAGGGTTTTAGGGTTTAGGTTTTAGGGTTTTTTTTTTTGATGATAATACTCTAGTACAAAGTTGTGCAACAAATCAGCACATCATTATTACTTTAACTAAAGTGACATTTTATTATCCATAACCAACATGAAAGCAAATAGGCTTCTAGATCAAATCAACAATCACCACCACGGAGACGGAGGACAAGATGCAAGGTAGACTCTTTCTGGATATTGTAATCAGCCAGAGTCCTACCATCTTCCAACTGCTTTCCAGCAAAGATCAACCTTTGTTGATCGGGTGGTATCCCCTCCTTGTCCTGAATCTTAGCCTTGACATTATCAATAGTGTCGGAGCTTTCCACCTCCAAAGTAATGGTTTTTCCAGTCAATGTCCTCACGAAAATCTGCATCCCGCCTCTGAGCCTGAGCACCAAATGCAAAGTGGACTCCTTCTGGATATTGTAATCAGCAAGGGTGCGTCCATCCTCAAGTTGCTTTCCAGCAAAGATGAGTCTCTGCTGATCCGGTGGGATTCCTTCTTTGTCCTGAATCTTCGCCTTGACATTATCGATAGTGTCCGAGCTCTCTACTTCAAGGGTTATTGTCTTCCCCGTGAGCGTCTTGACAAAAATCTGCATCCCACCCCTCAAGCGCAGAACTAAGTGGAGGGTAGATTCTTTCTGGATATTGTAATCTGCTAAAGTTCGGCCGTCCTCAAGCTGCTTCCCGGCAAAGATCAGTCTCTGCTGATCTGGAGGGATGCCTTCTTTGTCCTGGATTTTGGCCTTGACGTTGTCAATGGTGTTCGAGCTCTCAACCTCAAGAGTTATAGTCTTTCCTGTTAGGGTTTTAACAAAGATCTGCATCCCACCCCTGAGACGGAGCACCAAGTGGAGGGTAGACTCTTTCTGGATGTTGTAATCAGCCAAGGTACGCCCATCCTCGAGCTGTTTCCCTGCAAAGATGAGCCTTTGCTGGTCCGGAGGGATGCCCTCCTTGTCTTGAATCTTAGCCTTGACATTGTCTATGGTGTCCGAGCTCTCGACTTCGAGAGTTATAGTCTTTCCTGTTAGGGTTTTCACGAAGATCTGCATCTTGATAACAAAACTGGTAGAGAACGTATGAGAGAATCGGCAATTAAGATTTTGAAATCGCTTTTGGTCTTGTTGAATGTGGTTTTAGGGTTTAGGGTTTAGGGTTTAGGGTTTTTTTTTTTAATAAATTTGCATTTTATTAAATAATCAAAGAATACAAACGTCTGATCAAGCGGGAACAGGCTCCACACTTGTATAAACAGTAAGCAACAACCAAAGAACTAAAATGCGAGGAGCTTATCGGATATATGGAACATAAACTTAAGTACAACTACAAAGCCGGCCTACAACATTCCACTAAAAGATCTAGAAATAAAATCATTCCCGGAGCCCCAACCCCCTCAAGGGTAAGGCCTAAGGTCAGATAATCCAGATCAAGAAAATGTTGTGAGCCAAGAAATGCAATCGACTTAAGTCCAGTCTAAAATCCAGAAAAACCCAACTAAAAAGAAGAAGTAAAAATAATAAGTGCAAAAATAATCCAAGTGAGCGAGGGATGAGCCCAGAATATAAGCCCAATGTAAGGCCCAAACCATGAGAGTCCAAAAGCAGCCCAATCCAGCTCGTCCCAATCCTATGAAGAAGCCCAAGGCCATTTAAGTTATGAAGAAGTCCAAAGCCCAGCAAAGACAGCCCAAAGTTATCAATTCCAGCGTCGCCCAAACCACCGAGCAGCGCTTCCATCGAAGCTCAGCAGCCACGGCCCAAAGCAATCCAAGTCAAGTCTCTTGCCCGTAATAGCCCAAGTCCGGCCGAAACCCAAACAGCCCAACCGAAATGGCCTAATCCAAGAAGTAGTCCAGCCATGTAAAATATCCAAGTCCAAAATGTGTGAGATCCAATGTAATCCAAAGATCCAAAATGATGAGAAGAACAGAAGAACGAAAAGAGAAAGAGGTACCACTATGGGTCAGTGGCCAACCCTTAGCCCATTACCGCCGACAGATAGCGGGTGCTCTAACCTCACGCGCAAGCACTGACGCAGGCGGAAGAAACCTCGCCGGGCCCCACCCAGCCTCCTGACGAGGGCACCGATTTGATGACGGTACCACGCATACGCACTTTCCGTGTGCGCCACGGGTGCTCAAATCCTCAATCCGCAAGCACTGACGGACATCCTTTACCGCGGACGCGTACGTGCGCCTTTTGACCGCAGGCGCGGTCGTTAAGGCCCTCAGATGAAGTGCGAGATGGAAAAAGCCTTTACCGGACAGCCACCTCTGCCGGGGCTAGGATGCCAAATACCGCTGGCAACTACGGGCACTAAAAACCTCAGACGCTAGCGCCTACGTACCGCAGGAGCCGCAGGAGTCGACGGGGACGAAAGAAACTCTGCGAAACTACGCCCGTCATCTCGCAGAAGCACCGTTCACCGTCGGTACAACACGTGGTCCCAAACCGCGGGAACCAACGGGCACCCTTTAACCGCGGGTACATACGTGCGCCTCTTAACCGCAGACGCGGTCGTTAAGGCACCCAAATCAGTGCAATTAGGGGTTACCCCCATCCTCATCAATGCGAAAGAAGGGCAGATCGTCCATAGGAAGGAGAGATCTTACCCGAATGTCAATATCCTGCAGATTAGTAAACTCCCGCGTCCCCTCTGTACTATCCACGGCCCACAATGCCAACTCAGTCGTCGGGCCATTCGCCCGCACGTCACAATGAAACCACTGGACCGTCGCGATGGAACAGAGGAAACGCAGTCTAGCATATACATCATGAAGGTACCACGGGGTACCTTCTCTAAAGAAGCAAGCTAACTCTGAATGATGGGACTCCACGTGGATACGCAAGAAGGATTGGGATATACACCACTGAATACATCGAAGAAGCACGTCCATCCCTCCACGCTCCACTGGGTCCCACCTGAATGCAATAGAAGAGAGAGCATAAAGAAACTTACCTGTCGAGTCACGCACGATCGCTGCATATGCCCCACGAAGCGGGGCCCGCGCCACATTCACCTTGATGATGCCACCCGGCGGTGGGACCCACCAAATCGGCACCACCCTCCTGCGTCCAGAGCCTCGTCGAACGTGCTCCATGATCACCGACCATCGGGGAGGTAAGAGACCCCCGCTAGGCCATCGACGATAGATGCACTCCGACACCGCCGTAGCCACCCGAAAGATAATGCGTGCAAAGTTGGGGCGAGCATCCCCATACTTGCACGCAGCATAGTGCGTCCAAATCTCCCAAAGAATAATCATCGGCAGGCGGTGGAACAGGAACGAGAGCATCCTGCTCCTCGGCCTCTGCGCCCACCATCTACTCAAGACGGACCTCAAACTGTGATGTGTGCCCCGGATATGGACAGACTCTGTGAAATAAGTCCAAACACGCCGCGCCATGCTCCCATGATAGAAAATGTGTGTAATGGTCTCCCGTCCTGGCGACGAACAACATAAGCACCGAGAAGGCAAAGCAAAGCCAAATCTCGCCAGGACATCATCAGTGGGAAGGCGCCTTTCCAAAACGCGCCATGCTAGAAAGGAAATCTTATAAGGTAAGTGTTTCTGCCAACACCTCTTAAGCACAGTGTCCTCCACCTCATCAGTTCTCCTCGGTCTAAGAAGCTCCTTAGCAGAAGCAAGAGTAAACTTCCCATCCGTAGACGGGGTCCAGACCGGAATATCCACATGATCAGAAACAAGAGATGGCGGCTCAAGGCGCAACTGCCGTAATAAATCTGGGGGTAGAGCATCATGGTCAATCATAAAATTAGAGCGATACATATCACCCACTCCATCAGTGCAGTACCCACTGCAGCCATCGACCTGGCGATGCAAGGCACCCAGTCCAGACCATGTATCCCACCAGAAGTTAGACGTGCCAGAGAGTACACGCCATCGAATCACTAGCTCAATCACGGCACGAACATCTAGCATGCGCTTCCATGTGTGCGAGTCATCATCAAGGCGCTGTTTGGACACTGGATGGACACGACTACAGTACTTAGCCCTCATGAAAGCCGTCCAGATAGAATCCTGCGTCCTAAAATTCCACCAGAGCCTGGCCGAACAAGACTTAGCCAGAGTCATAAAATCAAGGAAGCCGACCCCACCTTCCCTCGTTGGTCGTGCCAGAGTCTTCCAAGATCCCCAATGATAGCGTCGTGTCCCTCCCAAACCAGACCAAAAAAATCGTGCCATGATAGACTCCATCTCTCGTATCACCGTCTTGGGAGGGAAATGTGCTGCGAGCAAGTGTGTCGGGATCGCCTGAAGAACACTCTTAATCATAATTGCCTTCCCCCCCGGGGAAAGATAGCGCCCCATCCATGCACAACACTTGTCTCGCATCTTCTTCAGAACAGGGTCAAAATAATGAATGCGCTTCCGACCATGATAAATAGGGCAACCAAGATAAGTGAAAGGAAGCACATCCAACGAACACCCAAGAGTATCTCTAACACGCTCCAACACGGGTGCCAACGCCTTAGGGTGCATATAGAAGGCACTCTTAGGGAGGCTGACAGCCTGGCCAGAAATCTGCTCATAAGAATGTAATACTGCTCGAACTTTCTCCAAAGTGTCCCCCCTCGCCGAAGTGAAGATGACAATATCGTCGGCATAGGCAAGATGATGGATATGCGGTGCATCACGAGGTTGTGTAAACCGAGCAACTGTAGGATCTGTATACAGCTGAGCCAGAGAGCGAGATAGGACCTCCGCTGATAGAATGAACAAGGACGGAGAGAGTGGGTCTCCCTGCTGCAAGCCCCGCGTCGAATGAAAAAAGCCCTCTCGGATCCCATTAATAATGACTGAATACCATATATTCGAGATGGCCCAATAGACCAGATCGATCCAAGTCTCCGAAAATCCAAATCTGCGCAGTACTGACATCAAGAAATACCAAGAGACCCGATCATAGGCCTTCATCATGTCCAGCTTCAGAATGACATCTTCATTATCCACCCGCATCCCGTGACACATCTCCTGGGCCAAAAGAATATTATCAGTTTAGGGTTTAGGGTTTAGGGTTTAGGGTTTAGGGTTTAGGGGTTT